TAATTATAATTAGGAGGCTCTTCCTAATGAGAAAGGGGCCTTTTTCAGTTCCAGACATTTTTCGATTTCATGCGATGTAAGGTACGCAATGAGAAACCCCAATGCCATCAGAAGATAATTGTTACAGGCAACGAAGCTCACCGGCCCAATTTCAGATATTCGGTGCGCACATGCCAAAGCGCTCCGCCGTGATTCAGGCGATGCATTAAGATCAAATTACGTTCAATTAACAGCACTGGCTGCCGAAGAGACTTGCCTCTCGCTCCTTGATACCAGAACGTTACAGAGGAAACCGTTTAGGAATAACTTGGATGCCAATTCGAAATTTCTCTGAACATAGAAAATTCTGTATAAAAATAGAAAATTCGGGTAGAATTTAATTTTAAAAAGACGTTTCAGAATGACCAAAACTCTTTAGGAATCCTATTCATGGTCATCACAATCTGACACCGCCTGAATTTTGTTCAAGTTCGATTTCAGAGAAAACGGAAAATAAATAAATAAATTACAACCCGATTGTAATATTTTAGCTTTAAGTATTTTATTCTGACAGCACATGCAAATTCAATTATAAGAGGGGCTTTTTTCAGTTTTAGGCGATTTTCGATTCCTTGCCATGCCCGCCCCTAATCTCGGTGAGCGCTTATAAGTTCTCAATGGTGGAAGGTTCTGTAAAAAATTGGATTAGTTGCCTAATAATTATTGCACTATTTCTGCTTTATTTGATCCGATTGTGTGAGAGCCAAATTTCTCACAGCTGAAGAAGGAGGAGGATGGAATGAGTAATCTTGCTGATTTGTCGAGGAAAATACTGAAAATCCAAAGAAATTTGAACAATAAACAATAAAGATCTATATTTTATTTCCTGTTTTAGTAATATTGTCTTTTTAACATAAACATATCCTAGTCCTTATATTCTTGGGATGCAATATAGTGGTGCCGCTATTTAAAGTGGTGGGAATGGGGTCGAATAATTAGCACATTGGTTTCTTATAAATAAAGTGCAAAGTAGTTTTTGAGAGAGAAAATGAATGAGCATATACTCTCATCATATTGTATTGGAATTTTTTGTAACTAAAGCCCCCCCCCCCTCCCTTAAAACCTAGCTGATATTTTTGGCTCAACAGGTGAGCCAGCTTTTTGAAATATCATAGACGCAGTGTAGAACTAAACAGATTTTTTGAAACTAACTTAAGTTGGTTGATGTATTTTGGTGTCATTTTTAATTTTATCATACTACATTTTGCCCGTTTCAAACAAGAACGGTTGCGAGGAACTTAAACTCGGCGATACAGCTACGATTCCTGGAAAAACTGCAATTAACAAGTTATCAAAAATTTAAAAGCAAAGAATAGTCCCCAAAATTCATATCTTTATAGAAAACGTTTCGGAGTCCAGCTCCATCGTCAGTTCGTAGAATCTAGAATTTACATAGAAAGTCACAAGTTAATACAATTGGAAGCACAGAACACAATTAAATCCTAAATTTACAAGTAATAGGGCATAAAAAAACCTATCTATTCACAATTTCAAGGGGATAAGATCTAACAGCTGAATTTAAACTGGGCCCAAGTTTAAAAATGTACAATGATTCGAAAATACGCAAATCTGAAGTACCGGAGGTGGAAGCTAACACCCTAAAGTCTCTGTTAGAAACAGGGACATCACACTGCTCGGCGTGAGTGCGCACAGCCGAATGAGAGGAGCGTGATAGCAACTGTCCGGTTCTACAACTCCTGCCCTGATGCTCAGCGACCCTGGAATATAACTATTCAGCGACCAGTTATCGATTGTTATTTGATTGCGAAACAAACCTAGAAGCAACCAGAAGCGCTGCTAATAAACAACCAGCAACCTATTCAGGTAGTGTCGAAAGTACGGTCAGACTCATTAGCAGCAGTACGGCCACGAGCTGACAGCTAACTCACTAACATAAACCATAACCATACCATAAGAAACCATGGGTCGCCTGCCGAAGTCCGCTACTGCCCTGAATGTAATGGACCATCAAGATTCCTCTCTTCCGGAACGTAGCCTTCAACACTTCTGGACAATCATATCTAGGCAGTGCGTCGAACAAGCCCTAGGTCGAACGGCCACTCGTCGAAGGACCATAAATTTTGGAACAGAACTATGCCATCTGAAACCTAATCTCAGATGCTGTGAACGTAAAATTACGTAATTTAACGATGCCCGGAAGTCATATTCGATCCGCGGCCTGATGGTGCACGGCAGGTTTTATGCAAGGCCGGAGGAGGACAAAGCCGAGTGGTTCGCGGCTGATTGGTGTGTGTCCGGAGATATCCGAGGCGTTCGATTCAGGGCTTATTGGTGCACAAAATTGGTGGTGCACGGCTGCGCTCCCGAAACCATCACCGACATTGCGAATTACGGTCGTTGACAGTTTACGGCCATGCGCAACTTGAGATATATTTCGAGATTACGTCTACAGAATAACAACTACGGTACGGCTACAATTGGAACATCATTACGGCAGGATACCTTTGTGATCGATACGGTCACGGCATTGCAGCCGTACCACTACGGACCAACACAGTACTAGGCAACGTTTCCCATTAAAGTAATGTAAGTACGGACAGTGGTTAGAGATTTGTAATTTCGGACCTGCTGATTCAATGCTTTGATTTAAGAATTAAGAGTGAGATTACCTTAGGGATAAAATGTCGAGTTCTGAATTTACTCGAATGTCTTATTTCTGTATAAGTTTTATAACTCAGAATGTCAATTTTTTCCGCCATTTCGATTCTAAATGTAAAAGTATTTCAATTTGACTTTCGTGCACTATATTCGCCGCGATAAATTTAACAAAAATCGCGCCTGAATTATTGACCGTCTCGAACCAGATACACTACCGATATTAATGATTCTTCAATGAATTAGGAGTGCAAAAGTAATTCAATAATATAAAAACAAATGGCTATGAATAAAACCGAATTCATACAGGCTGGCGTATATGAGGCTTGCATATGAGGATCGCGTATATGAGCCTCTCTTATGAGGCTGAAAAACTTACCAGTCTCAATTAGGATTATCATACTTCGATTTCCTATCCATGGATGTACAGAACTCCATCTATTTTTGGTTAAGTATGAACACTGTAATGTTACTTAGGTTCATTAATTCTCCTTTTAACAATATTTCTCGCGCACTGCATTATTTCTCGTGAAGCAGTTGATTATCTTCCGCATCGATCAGCATGCTGTGGACGCCAGATTATATAGGTTGTATTTGACTTTTACCTGGGATTATCGGTGGCTTGCGAGTGGCCAATGTTCAGCCTTCTCTAATCAACCTCTACTATCGTCCATGATTCATTCATTCGCTGCACCCAGCTTCTGTCATGCCTGATGATTAAAATGCATAAGACATGAATGTCCGAGCTTTCATGTTTTATGAATGCTATGACATTCATGCATGAACATGTACGAGTTTCGGGCGCCGCAACAAACGAGCCCCTAAATAATGCAAAGTAGAAGGTTAAGCAACAGGTCTTTACTGGTCTATTTTATTACATTACCATCACCGAAATTTGATGGACGACTTCACCGGAGAGGTCGTCGTCAATGGCATCTTAAGGCGGTCGACTTCAAGGGAGTGGCCATCGCCAATGGCTACTTGACTGTAACTGGATGGTTGCTTATCAACCAACTCAAACTTACCGTGGATTCAGAGCCTTACCAGAAGCCGGTCAGATCTAACGGGTCATCGGCAGCGTCACCATTTTGATGCGAGGCGAGTTGATTATCTTGTATATATTTTGTATGAATTTATATGATATATAATATTATTGCTCTATTAAGCATTCTACATATCTATTCTATATAAATATATATATATATATATATGTATATAGAATAGATATTGCTCAGTTAAGCATTCAGACGAATGAGTTGGTTAGTCAGAAGTTTTACATCGCCAGAAACCTTTTTTATAATCAGTTGTCGTGTCAAGGTCAATTAAGGTAAGTTAGTTGTGTGGTCAAATTGTTGTGTAGGCAGGGCAGTTGTGGGGTCAAGTTGTTGTGTAGGCAGGGCAGTTGTGGGGTCAAATTGTTGTGTAGGCAGGGTAGTTGTGGGGTCAAGTTGTTGTGTAGGCAGGGAAGTTGTGGGGTCAAGTTGTTGTGTAGGCAGGGCAGTTGTGGGGTCAAGTTGTTGTGTAGGCAGGGCAGTTGTGGGGTAAAGTCATAACACTCATCATGTGGTCAGTGGTCTGCTTTTAGCTTACTCAGCCGTTACTGGTCTTCGTTTTTGCATTACTGGTCTGTACATGTAAATGGCTCATGGTATACATGTTACGGCAATATAGTTTTATTTTATATTTTATAGCTGACACTTTCTCCTACTGTTTAAAAGTTAGTCTGAGAAGCTATCTGCGATGAATAAATTCCAAAATGTTCTGGCTGAAGCTCTTGAGAGAACAATCCTGGATTTGTTATGAACCTGTTTTGAAGAGAGGCTTCCAGTTCATTGTTCTACAGCGGTTCTACCAAAATCTGTTTGGCAGTGTGATGACCTAACGAAATTTGGATGCATGCCCGAATGTAGCGCCTCCTGGTCAAAAGGCTGGGCATTACCCGACATTTTAAGGGAGTGGTTAGGCCCATAGGCTGCCTCTAAGGCAGCTCGGCTGTGCATTTCTAACTTGAAAGAAACATAAACACGGTTATTGCATTTGAAAATAATTCCCAGACATCCCTGTTTCCCGAATGAAAATTCTGTTTCCCGAATAATAATATAAGATAAGCGAGGCGAACATTACTGAACTGTCGCCGGGTCACCGATAAAGAAATAAAGATCGTAAATTAATAAATAGACCTAGAAAATTAATTATGACATATATGTTCATTATATAAGTCGAAACAATTACTTATATCACAGATTTTTCCTTTCATTATAATTTTTATAATATTTGCCCTGGCCCGGTAGCAAAAATTTTGTCCATCCAATCTATTTGTTTACAGAAACATTGCATGCATTTATCATCCATCATCATTGGAATGCTGATGGGACCGAGGGTGCTGATGATGCTGCTGTCCGTGCTGCACGGAACCGGCGTAGCATCAACGGGCTCATCCCGGTACCGCGTGCACCCCCAGGCAGGGTTCGGTATCGCTGATACCGCGACGGTGGTACACTATACATCGTCTGTCATACAGGTAAGGTTGTGAAGTTCAATTTTATTACATAGTTAATATAAATCTGTTTTAATACGTTGAGTGCGATGTGACACACCTTGGTTGCCAGATGGACTTTTTTCCGGACATGTTCTGCGATTTAGTTTTCTCTCATTACGTTGATCGGCAAAAAATTGTGATAAAAGTACTTTTTTATTTTATTTTAGAACGTAAAAAAAGGAAAATTGAATTTTCGCCCCGCAACTAACAAATATACCAGTAATTATTGAACGGATATAAGTACTTATATTATCGTCTGCTTAAATTTTAGGTATTAATCTTTTCGTCTCTTATGACTCCGAAACGTTTTCAATATCGGTATGGTGAATTTGCTTAGCATTTTCTTTGTTTTTAAATTCCTTAGTAATTATTGAATTGTGAAGCATTTTTTGGCCCTTTCTTGTCAGCTGCCTTGGCCGTTTTTTAGGCCATCTGGCAACACCTCGACCCTCTGTGTTCGTATCGCACTCCACGTGTAAAATATAACTCAGTACTCACTGCAGTGAGTGACAGAGAGCGCATTTTCTCGTCGACGAAAACGAGAAGTCACGGACGGACAGACAGACGGACGGACAGACAGACGGTCGGACGGACATGACGAGCACAATAGCGCCTTTTTTAGTTAAATGAGATAATGCGCTAAAAGGACGATTGGATGATCATCAATAAATCGCTGCAATAAAATTTGTTCAGCAATAATATTTTATTCTGTCAAGCTACGATACCCCTGGTCCTGTTCATTAGTCGGTGTTTGTGCAGTGAAATATGCAGGTTTTTCTTTCGTCTATTTTGGTACAAATAAAAAGTATAGCTTTTCATGTTGAATCTATTATTCGGTTTTACTGTATAAATGATGGCATTCATTCTAAGATTCGATGGGTTTTCCGATGCGTGAAAGAAATATTGATTTTATTTCTTCGCTGAAAGTTAAAGTTTCATCCAAATGCTTCATAATAGTAATGTGAAGCATCTTCAATATTAATAACTCCCGTTAGATTTTCACCTAACTATTAGGAAAAATTAGTTACCGTAATTTCTACATGCTTCGTTGCCATAATTCATTCCCCAATATCCACAAAATTCATATTATACAAGAAGCATTTCGCCAAACATTGAGTGGCGCTGTTAATTTCTGCAAGGTGGCGCATTGTCTTTCAATTCAGCACATTTATATTAACACAGAGTATCCCGTACTGATTAGGGCAGAGTATCACTTTCTCAATTGATACATAGCATTCAAATTTAATATGATGATCGGTAACAATACAGAAAAGTCCATTATAAATATTACGTATAATCTCCTTATAATTTGATACAGAGTTGCTCATTATAAATGATTGCAGCTGATTACTCTTCATTTATCACTTCAAATAATTACTTACAGCACTGAAATGAGTTCATTGTTTTCAGTGTGCTCAGCGGTGCTCGATTTCTGGCTCATCTGTTTACTCCGTCACTGAAGAAAACACAGGAAAAGTGAGATGCAGAATTGCATCGTCTGGCTTCCGAGCTGAGAACCTCACCGCCGGCGCCGCTGCTGCAGGAGAAACAACCTACGTCGACGTGAGTCATAAACAGCTTACACAAGCCGGGGAATAACATCATTTGCGGGCGTGTTTGTGAACGATTTCAAAATCGCAGAAAAATGTTTAAACTGAAGATTACTACTAAAATTTAAACAATAAACTAACTTTTTAAAACTATCTGTGCGTTAAAGTTAGGCTGTTGGGTAAGTGCCAGTCATTAACCACACAATAAACAATATTGGAAATTACCCAGACTGGATCTGAGGTTTAATTACAGAGAAAATGTATAACAAGGAGGTCGTTGAATATCTATAATAAGTACCGGAATAATAAAGTAAATAATACCGTTGGCAACTTATGTACCTGTCGAATAGTAAATCTAATGAATAATCGTTATTTAAGATGTGAATGTGAATGAAGAAGAATGATAATAATTCAATACAACAGCATTTAGAAAATTAAAAAGAAACCTATTCTAAATACCTAAAGCTATACTAAAGAACCTACTTTGAGAATCGGCCTGGAGATACATTGATGAGTAAATGCATACAAGACTTAAACTTCCTACACGATGTTGTCAAGGTAGAAGGAAAGTTATTATTTTACTAGGAAATGAAACTTGTAAATATTGTAACACTACAAGCCTACGGCAGTTATTATTGAAGGTGAAGAGATGAAGGAAATTTTGGAAACGTACTGGAGTCTAGAAATGATTTGCCAAAAAAAGTGATTGATAATTTGAGGAGCTGCTGGCTCAGAAATTCTAAGTACTAAATAAGTTCGTGTTGATGATCGTTTGCGTCGTGACGTGTAGAAATAAATTGTTCTATATATTTATTTAATTATCTAGCATTTATTTACCTATGTGCCATCAATTTATTGTTTTTGTATTTTTATTTCCTTTTTATATTTTATTTCATCATTTAAATTATGGGATTTATTTATTTTATTTCTATCTATTCACTATTAATTTGACTATCTTCTGAATTGCTTCGTACAATTTTTAATAGAGAAATAAATCGAATTGCTCAATTATGGTATAATGGATAAATAAAGTGAAAATATTTTAAAGCTACAAATACATCGTTTGAATTTAATACAGCAGAAAGGTATGAAATTTTACAATGAATTAAGTGAAGAACTTCGAACATTTCCATGAAAGGGTATTTCATATGTCGCGGTAGGGAACTAATTCAAAAATCATCAACGACACGTTGAAAATATTCAACACGCAGTAGAGCCTCGCAGTCACTAATGCCTATTCCGTTAATGACACGTTAGGGGCGGTCAGAAACATGTAACAATCAGTCTGTGTGAACAAACCTTGCCATCATCTGCCTACTTCAAATTGTTACACCTGTTTGCATTATGCACTTTAAACTAACCTTTCATTTCGTATTAAATATCAACGCCTACCTGAACATTGTCTGAAATTGAAACCAATTTATAATATCAACATTTCTGAATTCTTAAGAATTGATACACAAAATTTAGAGTTTGAATACCTGATTTAGTGCGAGAAAATAGCAGCATCAAAATGTACAATCCAAGGCAGACCCATGGAAATATCTAATTATTTTCATTCTACGAGATGTAAATATGTGCTAAAATATTATATTCTTTGTCACTAATTCAAACATTAGCAGAGCCGTAGATTGTGCTACATCAGTTCAATTAATTTTTACCGGCACAGGTACTCACCTCCGCTACTGTACAGGAACTAACCACTGCCGCACCCACTCCAGGTGAGCAAAAGCTTATAAGATGGTCCAGAAAAATAAACTTCCGCTTAGTATTCATGTACTTGAAAAATTAATTCCTGGCGAGTTCGGGTGCTTAATAACGCTCATGAGCAGAATAAGTTTTTATAATTTACATATTTTTAGCTAACATTTCATCGAGACTTGTAACTACACGCTACATGAGAGTATAGACAAATTGTGCTAAGTCATATCGTTCCAAGTTCTTAGCCCTGTACACGCACATTAAGACCACCTCGGTGAATATTTTTGCTTTTGTGTCAAAAACAAAGCTTTTATATATTCCCCTAATATTGAAGTTGGCCAATTCGAGTCATAAGAAATTTGAAGTTACTCCCAAATGAGATACGCTACAAAAATTATGATATGTAAGAGTTTCGATTCCGTTTTTATAAAAAAAAATCATGGCCTTCCTTTTGCCCAGTTGAGATCTATCATCGTTTTCGATTATCAATGTTTACTATACATTAAACATAATTATACCATGTCTTGATACATTCCAATGCTTTATAATCTTCGAAATACCATCAATTAAAATAATATATTATGAAAATATTCATTACAATATTAAGTGTTTGATTAATGTTGTCTCCACAAAAAGGACCATGTCTGACTGCATCGGATATCAACTGCGCCATTGTGGCTACAGGGCCTTTCTTCTACCACCCGAGCGACTGCACCAAGTTCCTAATGTGCCAAGGCGTTACCAACCCCGTCGAATTGTCATGCGGCCCTGGCACCTACTGGAATATGTCTGGGCTCGCTTGTGTTAAGACTCAGCCTGCGAAATGTTCTTGTCAGACGTCTATCTAAAGGGACCCATACACTTGCGAGTAACGGGCCCCATACACAAGCGAGTAAAGGGCCCCATACACTTGCAAGTTAAAGACCCCATACACTTGTGAGTAAAGGGCCTTATACACTTGCGAGTAAAGGGCCCCATACACTTGCGAGTAAAGGGCCCCATGCACTTGCGATTAAAGGGCCCCATACACTTGCGAGTAAAGGGCCCCGTACACTTGCGAGTAAAGAGCCCCATACACTTGCGAGTGAAGGGCCCCATACACTTTCGAGTAAAGGGTTGCATACACTTGCGAGTAAAGGGTCCCATACACTGTTAGTAAATGGCCTGCGAAATGTTCTTATCAGACGTCCATATAAAAGGGTTATATATGATTTTTTGTGTTTAATTCGACCCCTTCCTTTCACACACATATTCAAATAGGCAAAAACACTAAATTTTATTTATATTTTTGATGGATCAAATACTGGAAATGTTATAAACCTAACTATGAAATGTTTACCTGTGGAAAATTGATATTATTTCAAAATCTGACAGATATTGCAGGAAAATTTATATGAGCTGTAATTATTAGAAAACAATGTGCCAATTGATCGACCCCTATTCCTATACCACATAAAGTTGCGGCATCACTATAAGACAACGCAAGCATATAAGGACTAGGATATGTTCAAGTAAAAAAGACAAACATACTAAAACAGGAAATAAAGTATACACCTTTGTTGCGGTTATTGTTCAAATTTCTATGGATTTTCAGTATTTTTCTCAACATATCAGCAAGACTACTCTTGCCATCCTCCTTCTCTTTCAGCCTCCACATGCTCTGCAAATATCTCTTTGGATCCTAAAGCAAACCAAGTCTGCTTCCTCTGACAGATACGCAGTGAGTGAGAAAAAGCCGCTAGTACAAGTTTTTTTATTCCCTACCAATGCCAGTGCATTGAGTGTGGGCAAGCTTGTAGCTTGTTGGCAACCCTCGTTTTAGCCTCTCGAATCGAAAAACAACGGAGCCTTGAGCACGCTCAGGCCTCGTCTACCTATGCCTTCCCCACCCTCATGGCCCCTATCTCTCCCCCCTCTCTACCCGCCTGCCGAGTCGATCACCCACCCTTGATTCCCCCCAGCCCACCCTTGTCTTTCCCTCGTCAGACACAGCTCAGCAGGCTCAAATGTTCCGCCAGTCGAATTTGTCGAGGGAAAATTACTATACTCAACTCAGTTTTGTAGTTTTCTCCATCCTTTTCTCCGTTCAAGAGGTTTAGTTCGTGTATTTTCTAATGGCTGGACAGAAAATAAAAAAGATTGTCGAAAAGCCCACTACGGCCTCTAGAAAAAAAGAATCTAAATCAGCCCAGTTAGAGATGAAAGTTTGCATGTACTGCAAAGTGATCTCTCTGAGCAAAGTCCAGACGGTCACCTGTGAACGATGCGAAGATCTCATTTGTATCAGATGTTTGAAGTTGATCTTTAAGGAGGACTCATTTCTCCAGAAAACTAAATTACCTCATTGGTTTTGCCGTGACTGCGAAAAACCAACTCTTGATGCTCGAAAAGCGAGGAGTCGGTGGAAGAGCACGGCAATGAGTCGAAATCGTTGAATGATGTAGTAAACTCCTTGAGTGAGATGGTGCGCTCGCTGAGTGACAAATTGAGCTCGCTATGCAATGAGCTGACTGAAGTGAAGGCTCAGCTGAAAAGTACGGAAGAAATGGAAATAAAGAACAAGAGAGCTGAGTTATCGGAAGTCGCTAGCGAAAGCTCACGTGAATTACTTGATAGATAACGTAGGAAGGCCAACCTGGTCTGGTTTGGTATTCCGGAAAGTACAGCATCTGATGCGAAGGACCGAGTGATGGATGACACGGCATTTGCTGCAGACTGTTGCAGCAAGGTACTCAACACAGCGGTTGATATTACAGCGTGCAAGAGGCTACGTTCGAAGGTTGCTGCTGCCAACACCTGCAGACCTCTTTTGGTGACTGTAAAGGATCCTGCTCAGGTCTGGAGCGTGCTGAAAACAGCGAGAAAGCCTGGAGAATCCGCTGATTACAAGTCAGTTTTTGTAAATAAAGATTCCACCTTTTAGAGAAGGCGGTTTTTCGCAAGAAGTGGCAGGAGAGAATCAGGCGGAAAGACACAGAAAATCAGGTGAATCACTTCCAAGCTGTCAAGACAACACCGGCCGCTCACGGTCAGTCAGAGGAGATGAGGACTAGTAATTAGTAGGAATGATGTCCGCAGATCAAGGCCTGTAAATAATGTAGGAAGTAACCGCATACATCAAAGTGAAAGTGCAAAAAAAAAAAAATTAAAATGTTTTTACACGAACTCGGATTCGGTTTTGAACAAAAAAAGTGAACTGTTATTAACTGTGATATCAAAAGAGTGTATAGACATTATTTGTATTACAGAAACGTTCCCTAAAAATCACGGGGGGAAAATTGACCCTGTTGAGTTTCAGTTGCCAGGTTTTGATTGTTTTCATAATTTAAATGAAGAGCAGTTCAGTAGAGGTGTAGCTCTATGGATTAGAGCCTCTTATGGGTTCCAGCAAGCTCAGTTAAATGCAGAGCATCAATCAGCAAGAGAATCAGTGTGGTGCGAAATTACTAAAAGGCAAGGATAGCCTCCTCATAGGAGTCCTTTATAGATAACCTAACAGCTCCTCTGTTAACGATAAAGTACTAAACAGCCTTCTACCGAGCATGACTTTCAGCAGGTCGCATACGTTGATCGTTGGCGAGTTTAACCATCCAGAAATAGACTGGGCAGATGAATCTTCTCCAAGAGATGGGAATCACCTAGCATCCCTGTTCTTGGAGCCTGTGCGAGACTCATTTTTAATCCAGAACATCACCAAGTTAACCCATTTTAGGGGTAAACAGACCCCAAATATTCTAGATCTAGTGTTTACTAGTGAAGAATCAATGATAGATGAGCTTTGACACGAGGCTCCGTTGGGCAAAAGCCACCACCAATCATTGTTTTTCAGTATCAAGTGTTGTGCAGAAAAGACGCTTCGGAAACGTGAACGTTTGAACTTTGCGAAAGCTTACTATGACAAACTCTGTGAAGCGGTGAATGCGGCGAATATTAAGGACATGAATGTGGCTGATCCATGGTCATTTCTCAAAGACACGGTTATGTCTGCAGTTGATGCCTGTGTACCTAAGATCACGCTTGGAGGAGTCAAAAAGTCCCAGTGGATGAACAGTACAGTTAAAACTCAGCTAAGGACCAAAAAGGAAGCCTACAAGCGTTATTTACGAACTCTCAGCGATTCTGATTATAACCTGTATGCAAGATCTCGAAATCAAGATAAAAAAGTCGGTCGTACTGTAGTGAAAAACTTCGAAAAAATATTGCTAAAAATGAAGAAAATAATCCGAAAGACTTCTTTTTGTACGCTAGTTGGAAGTGTAAGACAAGCGACGATATATCTGATTTGAAATAGACCAACGAAAGATTTCCTCTGATGAGGGCAAGGATGATTTTCATAATCAGTTCTTCAGCAGTGTGTTAACAGATGAGGACTAGGAACAGTATTCCAGATATTAAGGAGCGACCAGTGGACTCGAAGTTAACTGGTTTTGAAATACACGAAGAAGACGTTATCAAGCGCCTGGTAGCTCTAAATCCCAACAAGTCATGTGGACCAGACAGCTTTCATTCCAGATTGCTCAAAGAATTAGCAGACGTTCTGGCCGGCCCATTGACAGTATTCTTTCAAAAAACTTTGAACGAAGGAACTTTGCCGTCCCAGTGGGAAGAAGCTCAAGTAACACCATTGTTCAATGAATATGACAAAAGTAGCCCCGGTAACTATAAGTAGCCCCGGAATCTGTTGTGAGGAATAGGATTATCGATCACTTGACTGTTCACCATCTCCTATCAGATTGTCAATATGGTTTTATTGCCGGTAGATCCTGCAACACTAACTTATTGTCTACGTTGAACGATTGGACTCGCCTGCTGGACGAAAGGAAGCCAGCGGATGCATTGTACTTCGATTTTGCCAAAGCATTTGACAGTGTTCCACATGAGCGGCGGTTGCGTAAAGTGAAGTCTTTGGGAATTGAGGGAAACGTACTCCAATGGATCGGAAATTTTCTAGTACGTAGACGACAACGTGTCAGTATTAACGGAAACGTTTCAGGGGCATCAGTGCGCAGTGGCGTGCCACAAGGAAGCGTTCTTCGGCAATTTTGTTCGTTGCTTTCATAAATGATTTGCCAGAAGTAGTGTCCAGCGTGTGCTCCATGTATGCCGACGACACAAAAGTTTATAATACAGTGAAGGATGCGCCAAATAAAGCGAAATTGCATGATGATCTTCACAGTTTAGTTAACTGGGCTGATACGTGGCAGCTGCGGTTTAATGCTGACAAGTGTAAAGTACTTCACCTGGGGAAGAACAATGAACAGCAAGATTAGAGTATGAGAAGACATGGTTGCAACGAAAGAGTATTGATTGAAAAGTCTAGTGTGGGAAAGATCTCGGACTTTATGTCTACGAGGAGCTGAAATTTTCTAAGCATGTTGAAACGCAAGCTAATACATCCAACAAACGTCTTTCACTAATCAGACGCTCTTACGAGTTCCTAGATGCAGAAACGATGAAGCAGCTGTTTGTTGCTTTTGTGCGCCAGAATCTAGAGTTTGGAAGGTTGTGCGCTCATCGAGATTTGAAAAGGACGCAAATTTAATAGAAAATGTTCAAAGACGTGCAATAAGGATAATTCCAGGCTTGAAGGACAAGTCCTATGAAGAAAGAATAAAGATTATGAAGCTTCCAAGCCTCAGATATCGACGTCTGCGTGGGGACCTCATTGAAGTACACGAATACACTCATGGTTTATACAAGGTCCCAGAAGGATTACTAGAATTTGAAACAAGAACCCAGCAGGCATTCGGCGGTTGAATCAACGTTGAATCAACTACCTGTTACGACGTTGAGATCGAGTTGAAAGGAGGTTTAGAATGAAAATTGAAGCAACATCTTTCATGAAACGTCGTACTGACGTTAAAATGCGGCGTTGAATCAATGTTGCTACAACGACGTTGCAGCAATGTTGAATACTATGGTTGAATCGACGTTGAAACAACTACCTATTACGAC